GGAGAGAGGAGGAGAGAGGAGGGCCTGATATTTCTGCTGTTAACTTCCTGACCTGACTGATGACATCCACTATCTCTACCAGTGCAAAAAAGTATAATTTAAAAAAACCAACCCCTTAGAAAGTATGTACATGACATCAGGCAGCTGAGGGCCAGCAATCCTCAGCCCCCAGGGGACGTGCCGCCTATTACATCATCCTCAGACAAAAAAAGCAAAACAAAATAAACAGGCAAAACTTACATAAGGAGGCCGACATAATCATAATTATTTAACATATGTAAAATGAACCACCACAAATTTCATATAAACTTGTAACATATGAACCAATTTTTTATTTTTGTGAATTTGCAGATTTCATTAAAATAACAGCCTGTGGTCCTGCCTTGTTCAGGCAGTTCCTGTGACAACACTGGGGGGGGGTAGCAGACAGAGTCTGAAGCAGCTATGCACAGGAACCAATCAACTTCTATCCTCACCTTGTTCAGGTAAGCTATGAAAATGAAAGCTAAAAGCCGATTGGTTACCATGCAAAGCTGCTCCAGTCTTTGTAAATTCCCTGTCAAATCAATGTCCTTGTCTACCAGCGGTGCTAAAACAGGCAATGGTTTAATGTTGTCACCCTAATGAAACCTGCAGCATCACTGGATTGCATGTAGAGAGGAAGTGGCTGCAAATAGGTTGCAGCAGATGAGAACACTGAGATGCAACAAACGATAAAAAAAAAAAAAAAGTGAAAAAGAGTATTAAAGAATTCAATAATCAAGAATTGCCAATTGTTTATGATACATGGTGCTTTAGCAAACTCTCAGCCAGAGTTTACATCTACTTTAAACATTCAAATTCTTACAAATTCTTACAAAAGCCCAATCATTCTATTTAAATAAATAAAACTGGCACATAGCAGGCAGGTTATAGACAGAAAGTCTTACGCAGGTGAACTTTTAGCCCTGCCAAAGCTAACAATAGTGCTGCGGTGACACGTCTCTGGTTGGATGGTACATACCTGCTGAACATCATGAACCTGATCTTGCATTGATGTGACCTGGGCACGGAAGTCCTCCATCTCCTTCTGGCACAGCAGCAGTCGGTGGTCACGCTCCTCTAGCTGCTGCTGGTAAGTGATGATTTGCTGTTTAGAGTGGAGGAGATCGACGGCTGTGCTTGAGTGACTTGTGTTCCTCAGAGTCTCGCCGGCCTGCAGCTGCAAACAGCAGAACACATAGGCAGGTTGAGTAGATACAATACAGAATACACATTTATTGACTGTCTATGCCCCCAATAGAGAACTCATACTATTTCATGTCATTACAATTCTATATTGTATTGCTGCATTTCATAATTATTAGGGACCGATTTTTTTTTTCTTTGGTAATTGCCGATATCCAGTACCGTTGCCTTGTGCCCTGATTATCAGGAAGTCAGGCGGCGGATCATGACCCGTCATGATTGCCTGATCATCAATTCCTGATTGCCTGTGAAGCCGGTGTTCTAGCGAAAGAACATCGGCTTCAGAAGCTGCCTGGCTTCCTGACCAATCAGAAAGCCGGTGGCGAGTCATGAGGTGACGTCCAGCTTCCTGATTGGCTAGGAAGCCGGCTTCACTTGTTGCTAGGCAGCTTGGCTACCTGACCAATCAGGAACCTGGGCGGCACGTCATGACCCGCCTCCCAGCTTCTTGATTGGCTAGGAAGCCAGCTTCACTTGTTTCTAGGCAGCGTGGCTTCCTAACCAATCAGGAAACAAATCATGACATGCCGCCCGGCTTCCTGATTGGTTAGGAAGCCACGCTGCTTAGCAACACGTGAAGTTGGCTTCCTAGCCAATCAGGAAGCCGGGAGACGGGTCATAACCCACCGCCTCGCTTCCTGATTGGAAAGGAAGCCGGCTCCATGCTCCATCGGCACTGCCGGTATTGAAGGTAAGTATCAGAGCATTTGATATCGGCACTGAGTGCATCCCTAATAATTATGATGGATGCCTATTTTACAAAATAGCAAGTAGATTAAAGGCCGATCTTCTAAATTCTCCTGAAGCCACTGTGATGTGTATTTCTGGTTTCACCTTTTAAAAGGGAAATTTCACCTTTTGCAAAAATAAAATAAAATAAATGCACACTTATTCATAAAAGAAAAAAAATGTGCATTTATTATTTTTTCTCTGTGGAGACGGTAAAACATTGCAACTGCAAACAGTAGATCGCGGGTGCAATGCTCCAGCAGACTGTTCCTTCCGTCCCTGATGATCGAGTGGCAGGCAATCGGGGAGGAGATCGGAGCCGCTGTCATCCTGTCAGTTTCAGGATGACAGCGGCTCTGTGCGTGGCCAAGCGGAAGATTGGTAAATATCAGTGATACTTACCGATCTTCTGTGTGTGAAGGACAAACACTGGAGTGATCGTTTGATCACTCCAATGTTTGTAAATAACTGGGGCCACATAGTACTATGTGTCCCCAGTTATGAATGAACAGGCTGTGATTTACATCACCTCCTGTTCATTCATTAATTTCTCAATGGGTAGAAACACTCCCCATTCAGAAACTAGATGATAGTAAATTTACTATCAACAGTTTCTGAATGAATGTGAAGCCTCTGTACTGAGTGCTTCCCATTCATTGAAAGCTTAGGCTGCAGAAAAAGGAAATGAGGACTCTGTGTTCTCAATTTCTTTTTCTATTTCAAAAGGGAAATGTCAGGGGTCTGTTTAGACCCCAGATATTTCACCATAGCGCCCCCCCCCCTAAACCCCCTCCTCCCCCCACACACATAACATACACCATATTGTGGTGTATGCCATGCACATGCGCTGCAGTGCGTTGTTAGAATGCACCGCAGTGCATGATTTTTTTTTCTTTAAAAAAAAAACATTAATTTAATTGTGGCAGCGCATGGCAAAGCTTTGTGACGCATTGCCGTGCATTGTGATACCTTGTGTTGTAATTAAATATACGCCTGTATCATTTTATCACAACACAAACACCAACACAGCGCAAAAACCATTTAATAACATACCGTATTTTGCGCTCTATAAGGCGCTCCGGTCCATAGGACGCAGGGATTCTGTGACAGAAGCTGCAGTTCAGTGACCGCTGAGACAGGTGGCGCTGTGATTACAGCGCCACGGTCTCATTAATCCCACAGAGCAGACGAAGAACAACGTTCTTAGTCTCCTCAAGGGGCTCTATGGTGAGCTCCTATGCCGTGGTCACGGTTCCCCAGAGGAGCGGGGACCGTGGGGTTGGGAGTGTGTGGGGGTTGGACACGATCACCGCCGCCACTCGATTTAATACATGTGATCTAATCAGATCACTTGTATTAAACGAGCAGCGGCTCCCACTGTACATTCACCTCTGCTTGTCAGGAGCAGGGCTGAATGTACAAAAAGAAACTACTCGCCCGGTGCCCGAAACTGCATGTACCGGGCGTCGGGCAATAGGTATTCGCTCCATAAGACGCAGGCACATTTTTCCCCTCCTTTTGGGGAAAAAAAGTGCGTCTTATGGAGCAAAAAATACGGTAAGTCGCCTATTTACAGTTTTGCGTTCCTTCATTTTTTTTTTACCTTTGCGCAAAAAGGCGCAATTTCAGAATATTTGTTATTTATTAACTCAATACAGTTTTATCTTTAAGATTTAGTCACAAAATATTTTTTTTTGTGCACTGATACTGATTTTAGTGCTTTACCAATTCAATTGTGTATTTTTATCGGTTTAATAAGAATGTGAGAAACATTTACGCAATTATCGCAGGACCTACAAAATTTAGTAGCATCATCTTTTTTTTCTACCGGGCCTGCGCTTTCAGAAAATATATGGTTTGGGGGGTCTTTTACAAACGCTAGCAACCCAGCAGTTGGAAATCAAATCAATGGGAAACATTTCTAAAACGGTGTGGCCAGCTGAGGTGCAAAATGTTCCGGAGGGCTTGGCAGCGAAAGGGTTAATAACAAGCATTGCCCATTATACAACAGCTACAGTATGTGATCTATAAATGTCATCTTACATGCTGAAACTGAATCTTCAGCTTCTGGCTTTGCTCTGTCAGTTCCAGAAACTCCCTCATGATGTCATCTTTCTCCTTCCTGGCTTGCTGGAGGTTGGTAGTCAGCTGGGTGATGATGCCGTCTCTCTGTTTAATGGCCGTCTCAAACTCCTGGAGCTGCGGGATGGAACACACAGGCGGGTTACAAATGTTAAGTAAACAAGTGAGGTGTTCCGGTGAGGGGGGAAAAAAAATGAATGGCGCGCTTTGTAAAGTCTTCATCATACGGGCAATTTGTTCCTTGCTGTCTCTGCTTCAGAAAGCAAAGAGCTGGAAACCTCACACAGAGGTCATTGACCATTTTCCTACAAAAATACCCTCACTGCTCCAACACCAGCCAAGTCTGGATCGGCATGATGACCAGTTTGAAAGCCTATGTCAAGGCCAAAAAAGTGAAAAATTAAAATTGAGTGACTACCGTCATTCAAAAATCTTCTGTTTATAAGGAAATAACCCTTTCAAAAAGGAAAAAAGGACTTCTGGGTAAAATGGCATTCTTGCATGGTAGTGAATGCCGCACCCGACACAGTATTTGAGGAATCAGAACATCAACTGGGCCAAGTCAGCAAGGCACTGGTGCTCCTGCTCAACATCATGGAAGTCATGTCATGGAGTACAATGTACATGTAGGGAAACTCCTCAGACTGTTCACTGGAAAATGTACGCAAATATCCCTCTCCAAAAGCAGAGAGGACATCTGGGTAAATCTTTGCATGGCAGTCCTTTAAGTAAAAGCCTCATACATTCAGTTCATCACATTACCTTTGCAGTACCAGGGCACTGACATGCACTGTACTTTTAAGGATTCGGGGCTTGTTGGGCATTCATTAAAGTGAACCTGTGTCACAATATCCGGAAATCCGTGCAGGATTTTCCCTTTGCTCCCTGGTTCTGTCAGTCTATGGCCTCTCACAAGGCTGCAGCCAATCTGCGCTCCTCGTTCCCTATTTACCATTACCTTACTTGTTGCTTGGGGTGCGAGCAACAAGTCTTGTTTCGTACCCCTTATTTCTCTTGCGATCCGCGTGATCTTCTTTCCCTGCACTTTTGCCTTCCTTGTATCCAGCTGGTATCCCTGTTTGGCGTTATCCCCTGCTTCGCTCTTTGTGCCCCTGTTTTAGCCTACTTGGGTGTTTGCCTTTGTATTTTGCTTTCACCAGAGTGCTGCGAATCTTTATTCTGTCTTCTTATCTACTTCTGTGTTTTCTCGCTCCAGCCATTGTGTGTCTGCTTTCTTCTACGTACTTCCATCGCTTGTACTTCAGCCTAACGAGCATTCTGTTCCTGGTTACTAACCTTCCCTCACCTCAGCTTCTCGGAGGCCTTCCCCTGCTCTTCTGTGCTGTTCGTTCAGTGTTATCTGTGTTCTATATCTCTGTGCAATGCATATTCCTTGTGCATTGTTGTAATTACTTTGCTCCGCTCCTTCCCCAAGAATTTCTCTCCTTTGTGTCTGTGTTGCTTCCCCCTTTTACCTGCGCAATGCACACCCGTTGTGTTTTGTGGTTCCTAGTACCTTTGTGCTCCTAGCATACTTCTAGCTACTTACCTTTCCTGTGTGGTGCTGTGCGTTTTGCACCTTTACTTGTGTGCGTCTCACTCACTCTCTCTCGCTCCTTGTGTGCCTCTGTTCCCATCTTCCTCCTCTTGGTTTCAAGTTTCTTCTTTACCTGTTCCTGTATACAGTGCCCCGGTGCCTCTGAGTTTGTGTGGGTGCGCTAGAGGGCTGTAACCTGGAAGGTGTCCAGCAGTCAATCATCCTCACCTTTAGAGGCTTTGTCGACAACCTGGCCCTTCTTAGATTCTGCGCCCCTACCGTATAACATGCAGACCATTAGTTCGTAGTCTCCCTGTGACCTACATCCCTGATACCACTCCAGTCCATGCCTTCTATCCACTCCATAGCCCTGAAAACCATCTCCCCTAGCACCCCGACCCGCAGACTGTGACACCTGTGCTCATTTTATAGACAAACTGTCAGCATTCACCTACATGGGTACTTTAAATAATGCCCTGAAAGCCCCAATACCCAGGATAATTATGGAAATATGGAGTGGGCTCCAAACCTCCTTAAAAATAATAGAGAAGTGGTGGGCGGTCCATAGCAATATTTCATAATGTACCTCTTGTAAATATGTATAAGTACATTCTGTCTGCCATGCCTGCTGAAACTGACCCTTTCCATTTGCCAAGTATGCAAACCTAGTGTCACCCTTATAATGCTCTGTCGGCTGTTTCAAATGTTTTCCTTCTTTCCGCTAAATGAGCAGCCCAAACAGCGCTGTCGATGGTATGCAAATTGTGACTTTTTATCAAAAGTCAGCAACTGAGATGTCATCTTCCTCTCCAACTGCTAACCTGGCTGCCAACATATACAGCGAACAGTGACACAGGACTATCACATTAAGGGAAGAGGTGTCTGATTGCCAGGCTGGCTTCACCTTTCCTATGTTGTGCGAGTGGCAAGATGGCAGCACCCAGTGGGAGAATAACAGGATCTTGAAGTATAGACCATAAAACAATTGTTGTACCAGTCACATGTTTAAAATTTGGATATTTCATATTTGGAGTCAGATTATGTAAACATTGGCAAAGGAAAGAATTGAACATGGGCTCTGTTAATGGGCCTGCCATGCAAAATGGGACATACCTAGGTGGTCCCATTTCTATTTGGAGGGAGTCACCTACATGCCTTTGGGATTGCCTGGGATCTCCTTACTTAGGCTTTGTGCTGTATGAAGAAAAAAACCAGGAAGTTGGATGTTGGAAAGATCTAAATATTTCATCCCAGTTGTATAGAAGTTAGGACACAGTTATGTTCCATCATTCCACACAATCTTAGGAGCACAGCCAGTAAACTTGTGAACACAGTTCATAAAATATCATAGAGGACAGCATGGCCTTACCAACCCAACTTTTTTCTCTCCATTTCTCTTACCACCCTGACTCCTCAGGTCTAGGCCTAAACCCAAGTTCTTTCTGTAACCCCAATGTGCCATTGGGAAAGGTCTACTTGGGAATAATCTTGCTGTTTAATAAATGATAAATGCACAAGTTAATGCACTTTGGAATTAAAAATAAACAAATGTGTTATACAATTATGGGTATGCCGCTGGGGAAGTCAGAAATGGAGAAGGATTTGGGGGTCATTGTAGACCACAAACTGAAAGGTAGTTTGCAGTGCCAGGCTGCTGTAAACAAAGCTAGCAGGGTCTTGTCCTGTATTAAAAAGGGGATGTATTGCAGGGACAAGTCTATAATTTTGCCACTTTATAGATCATTGGTTCGACCTCATCTGGAGTACGCGGTCCAGTTCTGGTCACCAGTACTAAGAAAAGATGTCCTTGAGTTGGAAAAAGTCCAGCGGAGGGCAACCAAACTAATTAGGGGTATGGAGGACCAGAGCTACGAGACAAGGCTACTAAATTTAAACATGTTCACATTGGAGGTGAGGAGATTAAGGGGGGATATGATTTCCATGTACAAAATGTTCAATGGTGGCAGCAACATTAGCGATAAACTGTTTAAAATTAACTCCGTTACAAAAACTAGAGGCCATCACCTAAAATTGGTGGAAAAAAAATTCCAGCACAAGGGGCGAAGGGGGTTCTTCACAGTAAGATCAGTTAGGGTCTGGAACTCACTGCCACAGGCGGTGATTTCAGCAAATAATGTGGAATTGTTCAAGAAACTTTTGGACGATTTCTTAAGGGACCGTAATATACAGGGGTACAGGTACTCCTAGAATGAGATCCTAATAGGTTGGACTTGATGGACTAATGTCTTTATTCAAACTCAAATACTATGTAACTATGTAAGAGGATCCTTGCAATTCTTCTGTATTATTGTTCTATAGGATAGGATCCTTGCAATCACATACTGTATATCTGTGACACCATCGGGTCAGTGCAAAACACAGAAAATTCTAGGCAAACAAAGGACAATGGCAAAAAAACAGAACTACTGGCACTGAACTGGACTATCTACACACAGAGAACAGTTGTAGCTGGGGTTATTACAACTGCATTATCTCACCATGAAGATGGCTGCCATTTGGGAAGTAAGACGGCACACTGTTTTTCTGATGTGCATCTTGAGGTGGGAGGGGAGATTAATAATAAAGAAATAGATAAATTAGAATGTTTGCTTCTACAGAAGAGTTAGTACAGTATAAAGAGGGAACTGCTGCGAGATGTGATATCATACAACATAAAGTACGGAGGTAGTGGGGGTGGTGGTACAATAGATCTTAGATGCTTTCACCGTCATGGGGAAATAATTCAGTGCAGAGTGAGAAAGATTCTTCCAACAGTAGAAAACCCAACTGAATTACATTTAGTTTCCTAAACCCTGTGTACCATAAAACTATTGTTACAGGTTTTCATACAGTGCCACTATTTATGCAGAGCTTTCATACTACTCGTTGTCATGAGTCCCTGTCCTCAAGGATCTTGCAATCTAAGTTCCCTAGGTCATAAGCACATATACTAGGGATAATTAAAACAGGAGCCAATTAACCTACCAAGATGTCTTTGGAGCATGGAAGGAAACACGCACAAGAACATACAAACTCCATGCACATAGTGTCCTGGCCGAACCCCGAACTGAGGACCAGTTCACACCAGCTCTGTTGCGTTCCAGCACAATTCGCTGTTGGGATGCACTGGAGCGCATCCCAGCAGGCTTCCTGCGTTCAGGGGCGTGGCGGTGCATTGAAGTGAATGGCACCACAGCCACAACCCTCGACCTGCAGTGCGATTGCCCGCACCGGAACGCGTGGCAAAACAATGCCTGCATTCCGGTCCAGTGAGATCTGAAAAAATGCTGCAATTTTTTCAGATCGCACTGGACCGGAAAGAAGGCAGATCGGACTGGACCGGAACAGGGGGCATGGCTGCGGTGCTATTGACTTCAATGCACCGCCATGCCCCCTCCCGCCCCTGAACTCAGGAAGCCCACCGAGATGCGCTCCAGTGCGTTCCAGCATCGAATCATGCTGCAGCGGAGGAGGAGACAGGCGGAAGGGACCGATCTAAGGGCAAGCAGGCGCGGAGCTTCAGGTGAGTATAACTTTGCTGGTTTTTGTCTATTTCCTTGATGGGTAGGTGTCAGTCTGGAGGAGTGGGTGTTCATAGACAGGCTGTACTGTCATACAGATCACCCTACACACCTACATATGAGGCTAAGCTTCCATGATTGAAAGAACTGAAATCCAATGAATGAAAGGGGTGGGCCAGGAACACTAAGAGTGGGGAAGAAAGTGTTAGATGATGCTGGATGTTAGAGGACGCGGGCTCTATCCGACTTCCTGCAGCTTCTAATGCACATTATGAGAAGCTCCCAGTGTGCAGTCAAATCGGAGGAAGCAATTTCAGTCCAGTAGAGGAGCCGGTACAACCACTAAAGTTAAGGATGAAGTTCAGCTTTAAGTATCTGCAGAGAGTTGTGCACTCTATGAAATCACAACCGTACCTGCACGTATCGTACTAAAGAAGGAGAATATATCAATGGGAGGGCATCACACCAAGACAAAAAATATAAAGTTAAGTCTATGTACCTGTTGCAATCCCTCTGTTCCGTAGGCAGCCCTCATCTCTTCCAATTCTCTATTCAACTCTTCGATTTCCTGCTGCTTCCCGACCAGTTCATCCTCCATCACCTCGAGCCGCGAAAGGGAGCTTTGGGTGCCTCGGTTGCAGAACGTTTCCCGCACCTCGAACTCTTCCTCCTGAATGGATCCAATTGGGTTAGTAAAGGAGGCACTTGCAAGTCTGCAAAGTCACAGCAGCTGCTGCTTTTCCAGCGCTGCTAGCAAAGTTACCCACATCAAAATAGCCGGCAGCACTGAGCGAGCTTACTGCCATGGCAACCACCTTTGTTGTGGAGATAATTTGCGCCTCAAGAGCACTGACACATTTCCACCAAATTCTCTATGTGTGAGAAAGAACTGACAAAGCAAAACGGCATCATTTTCTCTCATTATGCAACAGATAGCCACCGAAAAGCTATAGGAAAGGGGAAGAGCGTGCATGTAGCATGTGTTATGGAAAAAGTATGCAGCCAAAAGGAGTTAGTCTTATCGCAGTTTAACCGCTGTGATGCCGGAGCTCTAGGACAGTGTTATGCCAGGTTAGTGATACAAGAGAACACGTCACTGGATACAGTACCCATGGTGTGTGGGCTGTGCTGTTTGCCATCAGCTGCAAAGCGTCACCAACTACCTGTGATGAAAATAATAGGCAGAAGGATGGCGTATAAATCTCAGTCACAGAAAATTATTTAAAAAGACAAATCCCTCGCTTTAGTTCACTTGTGTATTCTATTAAACTCAATAAAACAACCTTGCCTATCTCAACCAGGGTTCTGAAGAACCGTAGGGTTCCTCCTTATCTATCTCAACCAGGGTTCTAAAAAACCATAGGGTTCTTCCTTATCTATCTCAACCAGGGTTCTGAAGAATCATATGGTTCCTCCAGAGGTTGATAGGGGTCCCTTGAGCTGATAAGTTACCTCTAACTCCAATGATATTTTTAGCTATCAGTAAGGAAGGCATTCTGCTCATTGGTCATCAGCGTAAGGGATATTCTTCCCACTGTTCAACAGTATAATGGGGTCCATTTCTACTGACCACCAATGTAAGGAGTTGCTTCTCCCACTGACTACTAATATAATGGAGCACTAATAACAAATGGTAGGGGCACTACACTGACCAGCAATGAAGGGGGAACTACACCGACCATCAATAGAGGGGGAACTACACCGACCGTCAATAAAGGGGGCACTACACCGACCGTCAATGAAAGAGGCACTACACTGACCATCAATGAAGGGGGCACTACACCATCCATCAAGGAAGGGGGCGATACACCGACCATCAAGGAAGGGGGCGATACACCGACCATCAAGGAAGGGGGCTATACACCGACCATCAAGGAAGGGGGCACTTTTCCACTGGCCACTTATGTAAGATAGCACCACAATGTTTATGGTCTGCATTTATTTTTTGGCCTTTACTATATACATTTTATTTAATTAATAACTTAAAAATGATCTTGTTTTATAGAGCAGCCCTGAGTGTCAGGAACCCCACATTCCTTATTTCTTCTTCTATCTACAAGTGTAATGCTAATGTCCTATGAGCTGTAGATATAAAAATTATTAGCAGGTATTCCCTGAGATGTGAAAGTTATTTTAGGGGGTTCCTCCATGTTAAAAAAAAAGAAGTTAAGAAAGGCTGCACCAAAGTGTTTCTAAAGCCAAAACGCTTTTTTTTTTGTATTGGATAGCATGGAGGTTTTTTTCGCTGTCTGTGTCCTCTTTGGGAAATTTCACTGACAGAGCTATTCACAAAAGGGTGAAGAGTGGAGAAGGCAGGAGAAGGGAACAATCTAGGACAGTGATGGTGAACCTTGGCACTACAGCTGTTTTGGAACTACAAGTCCCATGAGGCATTGCAAGGCTCTGACAGCCACAGACATAACTCACAGAGGCAGATGCATCTTGGGATTTGTAGTTTTGGCACAGCTGGAGTGCCAAGGTTCGCCACTACTGATCTAGGACAACATCGCTGAACTGGAAAGTGAGCTGGATTGGAGAATTGTTCCAAAACGGCTATTTTGTCCAATTTTGTTCACTTCTCCTAACTCTTCCCTCTTTAGTGAATAACCCTGTTGTTATTATTATTATTATTATTATACAGGATTTATATAGCGCTAACAGTTTGCGCAGCGCTTTACAATATAAGGAAGACATTACAGTAACAAAAGTCAAGACAAGATGGTTAGGAGGGCCCTGCGTGTGAGAGCTTACAATCTAAAACTTCAGTTCCTGTCCTGGAGATACAACAGGAAATATCAAAATCTCTGCAAAGTGAGCGCAAATTTTCTCTTGGACAGCTGGCATTGGATTATTTTGTTGTCCCCAGAACAAAGTAACCCCATTGAAAGATTTCCCTTCATTGTCTGTGCTGGTAACAACCACTAAATTTTGCATCTTCCATCACTTTCTGCCCCAGTGACAATGATCACCAGAGAGAAGGTGAATCTCCCTAGTGGGGCCCTGATGGGGGTTCTAGCCCTTTCAAGCTCTATCTAAAACTTAATTTTAAAAAAACTTTTGATTTACTTTAACTGATTAATCAATTAATTATTTGTAATTATCTACAACCTGTCTTCATATTGAGAAGCTACATACCAGCTGAAAGTTGCAATAGGGTTTGCAATAAGAGTGCCAGATCTGAGGACTGATGGGTAGGAGTGCATTGGTTGGCTTACAGGGAACAGAGAACTCCATTAGGGTGTCACCAGACTCATCATGCTCTTTAGAAGTCCAATGTACAGGCCGGAGTCCGGGCACTGGCACAAAGTCTACAGAATTGCAGCCTCTAGAACGCTATGTCACCTCCTATATGCTGTCATGCATAAAGCACATCAGGAATGACGGGATCACAATAGTAAGTTCACTATGACACATATCTTTTGGCAGGTAACGCAGATCCTAGATATGTGTTTCAATTGTATTTAGCTATGTGCCTTGGACTTTCATAAGCCTATTAGAAACCAGAAATTACCAAAATTGTTATCCAATTGTTTGGCAATAAACCGATACATATGATCTGAAGAAAAGGGCAGGGAAAGCAGAGGCAATGTTCATCAATTATCTGCTATTAATCTTAGAAGCCCCTTGGAGGCTCCTCCAGTGATCTCCCCTCCCTGACACAGAGCGTACAATGAGAGCAGTGACGGGAGGAGATTGCTAGAGGACCTTCCCGGTACTAAAACCTCACACCAGAGCTGCAAAGAGGAACATTTTACATACAGACTGCTTCAACTTTTTAGTCTTTAAAAAAAAAGAAGCAATATCAGTATGAGAAATCCTAGTCCACGCTCTTTCTGCTAGACCTGACTCGGCACGCTGGTTGATTCTTGCAGAGATAAACTGGCTCTGATTATTTTTAGTTTACTGACAGCGGAGTTCTTGATTGCCATTCGGCTTCTCCCCAGGGAAGATGTTCTGACAAAAAGGTATTTTTGTGCAGAAAAGAAACGTACAGGACATGTGACTGGACACGTCTTGGCAAGGACAAAAGAGCCACCTACTGAGCTCTGAAGAACTACAAGTTCCACTTACAACTTACAAAAACTCAAAGGGGGGTGTAAAGGCAATAAATAGGAACAGTCCAACAGAATAAAAGATTTCCTATAAGGCTGCAACTTGATTCATAAAGTTCTCCTTCTGCTGTTAAGAAGCACTGCAACAGAATAAAACAAAATAAAACCTGCCCCTGACCACTCCTTAATTGTGCGTCTCTTCAGAGTAAAAATCGGCCTAATCTTCAGCGCTAAATATGTCTGAGATCTTTGTATATTTGTTAAAGTGAGGTGCCCAAAAATAAAGTGTTGCTGGGGCACTGGACCCAAATGTAAAGGTGAGTGACTTGAAATTCCCTCTATCCGGGATGTCTTTCTCCCAAAAAGGAGATGAAAATCTGTCAATGTGGACACCTGTTCTACTGATTAGGGAATATCTTCCCTCACATTCAACAGGTAGGCAGAGCTGAGAATTAGGGTCAGGACATCTTACCACTGAAATCCCTGAGGGACACTAGAACAAGGTATGTGACTTACAGCAGATGCCTCCAGGCTTACTGGTGTGTGCATGAGTGACCTCTTAAAGGACTGCCTGCCATACTCTTTAAAGTTCACCTGTCACTAACCTTAGTGTAGTGAACGAGCTCCAGCACTGTACTGGAGGTTACTGGAGGTCTGCTGCTCTAGAGCCTCAAACTCTGCTTTGATACAATTTACAAAGTTTGACACTTCCTGGTAGCATCCATTGCTTTCTCCAATCCCCTCTTCCCCCAGAAAGTTCCCATCATTGGCCATCATTATAACAGGCAGCTGTAATGGTCAACAGGAATATGTGGGATCCTGGAGGGTGGGGAGTGATTTGCATTATAAGGAACTGTCAAACGTTGATGACAGCAGCAGCCCAGAAATTGAACCACCGAAGTTATATTGCAGGCACAACTTGGCGCCTACTTTAAAATGCTGGATCCTGTTCAGTACCCTTGAGATGACAAATCGCCCCAATAGGCGCCAATCAGGAAGCCAGGTGGTGAGTCATTACCTGCCTCCCAGCTTCCTGATTGGTCAGAAAGCCAACTCCATGTTTCCTCGTCACCTGGTGACGAGGGAACATGGAGACGGCTTCCATGCTAATCAGGAAGCGAGTCTTTACATGCCGCCCGGCTTTCCGGCTAATCAGGAAGCCAGGTGGTGAGTCATTACATGTCGCCGAGCTTCCTTAATGGAACTTCCGGTATCGGTATCCAGTATCGGCGAGTACAAAAAAAATAAAAAATATCAATACTCGTACTCCATACCGAAAAACCGATATCGATGCATCCCTAAACAACAGTGTAAGGTCATACACAATAGTGTAATGAGCAGGCAAGGCAGCAGAAGGGGACATTTTATGTTTCCAAAAGTGCATTGCCACAAGCTTGAGAAATTCTCACTTTACTGCAATGTGGCTATACAGCATATACCACTATACAGCGTATACCACTATAGAGCGTATACCACTATAGAGCGTATACCACTATACAGCGTATACCACTATACAGCGTATACCACTATACAGCGTATACCACTATACAGCGTATACCACTATACAGCGTATACCACTATACAGCGACAGTGTCTGTGAAATATTTCAACTGTGTACTTGGCTGGAGTTGCCCTTTAAGGCTGATCTGCAATAACGGCAATAAAGCAATCCTTTCCATGTGAAGAATATGAAATGGAACAGTCATCATTTCATGTTAATTTCAGTGAAGTTTTAAATCATGACAAAGAACAGACAGATGACAAAAGACACTGAAAAAGAGAGCAGCGTATTTCCACCAATTCCCCAATGGCAGGTGAAGACAAAGGAGAATGAATGAAGTGACAATCACAGATTCTTTAGGATCAGCAATGAAATGTGTCACCACAGACAAGATGGAGCATCTGCATGCAGCATGCATGGCTCAGCTTACCTCAGAGCTATAATCATCGGCCGTGGTGGACACCTCGCTTTCAGGCTACAAATGAAACAAAACCCTGCTTGAAAAAAGGCTTTATTTTCAAAATGTGATTTTATTTTAGGGAGAGCTCTCTGCATGTGTATCCTGTTTTGTACTGATACAGGGACATAAACCTCCATGAAGCCTTCCATAGTATTATCATGTCTTAACCACTAGAAGAAACAGGAAAATGTGAAGCTGAAGGGATGACTTTATTCACTGGTGAGGGTAAAATGTCAAGCTTCCAGGACTATTCAAGTCTATTCAATGGCGTTCATGGTATGGCCAAAAGGTCTGTGGACACCTGACCATCACATCTACATGAACTTATTGCTTTACCCAAAATCATGGCCATTAATATGGAGTTGCCCCCCCCCCACCATTGAGAGTGACCATACCATCCTCTCCACTTCCACAAGATTTTGGGTGTGTGGGAATTTGTGCCCACATGGCCAAAAAACCATTGGTGATGTCATATACTGATGTTGGATGAGAAGACCTGGCTTGCTATTGGTGTTCCAATTCGTTCCAATTCATTCCAAAGGTGTTCAGTAGGGCAATAGGGTTGAGGTCAGGGCTCTTTGCAGGACACTCGAGTTCCTCCACACCAAACCATGTCTTTATGGAGCTGGCTTTGTACATAGAGGTACAGTCATGCTGGAACAGAAAAGAGTCTCCTCCAAACTCTTACCACATGCTGGAGGCCCACAATTGTTTAAAGGAGAACTATGGGGTTAGGGCTTTTCCCCATAGTTCTCCTTAGGGTAACGGGAGGACACAAACTAGCGTCCTCCCGTCACCCTAGGCTCAGTATACCGCGAGCTGTAGCTGTATTAACCCTTGCAGTGCCGGGGTGGCTTCACTATAAGGGTTAACTTTGTTAATTCCTGGATTTCTTCTTTAAAGCGCAACTGACGCCAAAACTGTATTTTAGATCTGGATAGAGTGGAGAGGGATTTGAACACCTGTCAGGTTTATATTGCTCTCTGTGTCCCCGTAAGGCAGATTCACCCTCTCTATTTGTCCTGAAGCACATTAAATTTTGGGTTGTCACCAGAGCAAGAACAGATGGTAAATCTTCCAATCGGGATGCTAGTTCTGGGCGACTCTGCTGACCTCCAGGAATTTCCCTCACTTTGGAGGGATTTCCTCTCACTTCGTGTTGTGACTATCAAAGTCAAGGAAAATCTCCCCAATGGGACACAGTAGGCAAAAAAGGCCAACAGGGGTTATAACCCTCCATTACGTTATCCAACACTACTTGTGGCTTCATTTTTACTTTAAGGCTTAGGGCTAGCATTATGGTTACAGTTATGGCAGAGGACAGGCTTAAGTTTAGGGTGTGGGGTTGGATTGTCATAGGTGCAGTAGAGGCAGAGCAATGGTTTCAAGCAAACTACCTTGTGTATAATAGACGTGAGCACATTACCTACCATCAATTGTTCAAGACCATCATCACTACAAACACTTTATCAGGTATGAGAAGAAAGGAAGGCCGTCTCACAGGCTTACAATTTTAGAATGAAATCTCAAGAGTCTCAACATTCATAGAGGCAATGACCTGAAGCAAGTATGCAGCCAGTGAAGTGGAAGCTCCCAATCTGTGTTATCATTTTGAAGCAGTAACTCAACAAGTAACAATGAGGATGTCAACCTTACACCTTTGAAACCAAGTCGGCAAGGACAACTCCCATACTTCCAATATGAGAGGCTGCTCGGTAAAGTCTAAACTGAACAGTAGGGATGCACCGATATATCGGCCGAAAATTGCACTATTGTCATAATGACGAAAGTGCCATTTTCTGGCCGATACAGCGGCACATCCATTCTTTCTCTCCTCCCCGCCGGGGGCTGCTCTGTGTCGCAGCGGGGAGGAGAGAAAGTGTCACAGGCTGCCGAGCGCTGCGGGAGGAGAGTGCTGTGAGCGGCCGGCGTCTCTCCTTCCACACCACTCAGCCTCCTGTGACAGATCAGAGGAGAACGGTGTGTGGGCGGAGACAGCTAGCGCTGTCACAGCAGGCTGGGCTCTCCTCCCCGCACCGCTCGCTCAGTCTCCTGTGAAAGCGTGCCAGAGAGGAGAGCGGTACAAGCAGTCAGTGATCAGTGAGTGTTTGTATATAATTGAGGACAGAGTATGGTTACTATATCCTCAATTATGAATGAATGGGAAGTGATCTACATCACGTCCTGTTCATTCAGGATTGTGGTTATAGTAAACACAGTATGTCCGCATGTTATCAATGAACAGGAACACTCAGTATAGAGGATTCCTGTTCATTTATAACATGGGCTGCAGAAAAAGAGATTGAGGATCAAAAAGTTTATAAAAAAATAAATAAAAATAACATATTTAAAAAGGAGAACTATGAGGTGAGTGCTTTTCACTCGCCTCATAGTTCTAGCCGACCTGTGACAATGAGACTGTCACAGGTCGGCTCAGTAGATCGGGAAGTGAGCGGACACACTTACTGGCGTTCACTCACTTCTCGATCCTTTCACGGCTCTCTGTCGTGACAGGGGAGGGGCTGGATTCCCCCCTCCAATCCTCCAGCGCTGAATGGCGGAACGGACGGGGGAGGGGGCGGGTACAGCTGGCTCTGCCTCTAGATAGGCAGAGCCAGCTGTCACTCACGCAGCTAGGCGGATCCAGACATAATTGTCGGGATCCGCTTCAGCTGGGGCGTCTCAGTATACCGCGAGCTGGAATTGCAGTCATCGGAAAGCCTGCCCCTCATTGACAGCTGGCTCTACCTCTCTAAAGCCAATGCCAGCTGTACCCGCCCCCTCCCCGGTCTGTCTCTCCAATGAACGCTGGAGGAACAGAGATAGGCGAGGGAAGACTCCTTGCAGGGAGCGGTGAATGACAGTCACCTCTCTGCAGTGAGAAGCCGTGAGCTGAGCGATCAGCGGTCCATGATTGCCAAGTTCTTCAACTATAGAGCCAACGTGCAACAGCTGCAGTGTCACAGGCCGGCTCAAACTACTGGGAAGAGTTTATTTGACTCTCCCAATAGTTCTACTTTAACTAGTGGGAGGCGTAGCTTATTGTGAGGAGAGGTGGAGCTTAGTTCTGACTTGAGCAGAAAAGTCGAAAGCCTGTGTGCAGCTTTCCTGGGTTTCCTGCCTGGCTACAAAACGAAATTTGGCCAATTATCATCACCCTGTCCAATGAGAATGCCTCTGTGGACAATAAGGATGCTCTCACTTGTTCTGAACCCCAAAGTAACGTTACTAATAACAAAGTCAGTGTTGAATGTGAAGTATATCACAATAGGACTAATAGAAGTCCATACCTCAATGGTGTAGGTCTCATCGTGTTTGATCACCTCGCCATGAGGCAGCGTTCTCATGATGGTGAACTCGGCGGTGGTACTGGCTCCGCTTGGAGCCATCTGTGATGGGGCCTCATTGCTCTGCGATAAGCCAGCTTCTGGAGTTTCTTCAGGCTGCTCCCGATGTTTGGAGCCAGAGGCGGTCTTCTTCTTCTTCTTGGTCTTCTTGGTGGAAGCCTGGCTGTCCGTCTGCCCCTTGCGTTGTCTGAACTGGGCAAGCTGCAAGATATAAAACAAAAAGTCTTAGCTTTACACTTTTCTTTTTTGGCTAAAGGAGGGCAACTCTCCTGAGATAACTGGTGTGACTGCCATCTGCAATATTTCAGCAGCTAACACAAATTGTCTAATTGCAGATCACCCACTTTTACTGCTGAGCACGTGGGGACATCAGGACCAATAACTGGATCTTTCACTTTTACCAGATCCATACTGAATTACGAACCCAGGACCCAAAAGTGCAAGAAAGGCCTTTATAATGTATCAAGAGACAACTCACCGACTGTGATCGATCGCTGCTTACGGTGAGGTGTGCAATAACTCAACCTCCTCGAGTCCGCAGTCAGGTATAATATAAAATCATGAAGAATGCCAGTATTACTACTTGACCTAAAGGGCCATCTTTAGCGCATACGTAGTTAAAACCAGCAACACTGTTGAGCTGTCTGAGTTAGAGGAGCCCTCACTCCCAGCAGAGCAGGAGCTTATATATCTTGAAGAGTATAGACCTCAGGTGCTGGTTTATGACCTAAATGCTATGAGATGACCCTTTTATTGGAGTAGGAGTGCCGGTATTCCTCAGGCCCCGTTAACACTTAGCGATTTATCGCGCGGTAATTCCCGCGTGATATCGCTCTTCAATGCTTCTCAATGGGGCAAAGGGTCCTGCTGTCGCAGGTCGTGCGTCGCTACAGCAGGACCCTTTTTGGAGCGGATTTAGCCGAGATTCAAGCTTGCCCAATGCAAGCATTTGCGCGATATCGCGCAAAATGCAAATCGCGCGATTTGCGAATCGCCAAGTGTGAATGGGGCCTCATGCTTTTATACAGGAAGCCCATTCAGCGTCTCTAACAAATGTAGAGGAAGGAATGGAACCCTGACCACACTGTGAAATATACAGACAGCTACTAGAGGAAGAATGAAAATATGGCTCTGCAAGCAATTAAAAATGTCAATGTCACACCCACATTCATTTTAAGCGCCATTCACATGGCAGAGGTGCTGCAGGGTGTGGTTGTGGCCCGCTGCGGGTATGGCCGTTTATTAATTTCAGTGGGCTGTCTACTGCAGCTAAATTGCACTGAGAAAAAGTGCGTGCATGTTTTTTTAAATTGAATCTCACCACATCACAAAGTAATAGCTAATGTGATGTGGTGCGCTACAACGCACATTTGCTTGCTAATTGGTTGGGTTGTCACTAATAATGACACCGTAGCGCACCTAACACTGCAACATTAAAACGTATATATTATTTAATCAAAGTTTTTTTGTAGATTTTTGTAATATAAAGTCAAAAAAATACTTCCAGTATACAATACACAATCACATACAGTTGACAGGCATCGGTGATTGAGTTAGTTCTGTCAGCATAACCATACATTCAACTGAAAAATAATACAGCATGGACTGTAACTGGAAGAACAAAATAGACAAAACGACTAAAAGATAAGGAAAGAACATAAAGAGATGAGAATAAAGAATAAGATTAGAATAGGCAAGAAATGAGAAAGCTAAGGTGGATGCAGACATCTCCATGTGCACATAAAAAATGCAAAGCAAAAAGAAAAACAAAAAGTGTGAGCTATGACACCATCTGGAGGCATAGCGTGATAGACAAAGTCCAACCAAGGCTGCCACAGAGCCTCATATTTAAATAGTTGATCTCTAGAGGAGTAAGCAAGGTCATCCATAAGTCGAAAGTGATCTATCTTGTGAAACCACTCTTTGGAGGAATGTTTGCCTTACGTCACTATGTAGGGATCAGCATTTTGCCTGCGTTGAGGAGATGTGGAATCAAGGACTTTTTATAGGCGTTGGCAGATAACATAGAGCAATGAAACAAACACACCCAGGGGGTCCAGCAAGATAGTCGTGCCAGTGATCAGGAAAATATAGTGAGCTACACGGTACCAGAATTTCTTGATTTTCACTCAGAGGTCCACCACGGGTGTGGGTAGGTTCCTCGACTAAAGGTGCCCATACACCTTACGATTATCGTATGCGATCGACTTTTCGTACGACAATCGTAACGTGTGAATAGAGTGCCCGACCGATAGTACTGTACAATCGTACGACTTTTGACGGTCAAGCATGTTTGAAAACTTTGGTCGATCGTACGATGTTCGCATGGTTGGTGGCGTTTCCGTCCGTCAAAAGTCGTACAAATAACACTGCGCATACGAAAATAATTGCGATCAATTACCGCAAGTCGTCCAGGTGGTTTTTTTTAACTACCGCTGATTGAACCTTGCCATAATCGGGGCAGGATGGGGCCGTCGTACGAAAATCGTACGACGGTTCGATCATTGGACGATAAGTTTAGTCCGATAATCGTAAGGTGTATGGGCACCTTAACACAGCCTCTCCAACATAGAGGCGACTGAGTATTATATATTGTTCCCAGTTGTGAAGGGGTATAATAACAGCGGGCCAAAAATTTATAGAAGGATTAGGCCTTGTTCTCACCAAGCGCGTTCCAGGAGCAGGGCAGAGTAGTTACAGAACGGAGCAAAAGTGCGCCCAATGTATTCCAATGGTATTTTTAGCTCCAGTTCACATCGCAGCGTTCCGTTCCAGAGCAGATAAAAAAAACTGCAGCAGGCCCTATTTTTCCTGCTCTGGAACGCATGCAAACGCATCAAAAACGCATGCAAACGCCCTGGAAGCCCCCTTTTTTAAACAAAAAACGTCCCGGAATGCATCAAATACGCAGCAAAAAACGCGGTACAACCCACTGCACTGCGTGTGCAGAAACTCATGCAGATCTGCTCTGCATTTGGTGTGAACAAGGCCTTAAGCTACATGCCTGCTAATAGAAGATCCAAAGCAAAAACGGAAAATATGTATATATTAAAGCAGACCTTTACCTTCAAAAGTCAAAATCTATTTTGTATCCAGCTCTGGACCGTGATAGATAATCACCTTAGACTGCCACATGGGCCCGTGTGCATGAGGCCTTAAAGGGCAATGCCACTTTTCCAGGGAAATTTGGGAAAATGGGATTACCCTTTTCTAATCTGGCCTCCTCCCCCCATCCCGCTATACTTACCTTTTGGCGAACGCTCCTTCCCCTCCGCCAGTGCAGGTGTACTATCTGTACCCCGTACTGCCATCCACCAAAGCCCAGCGCTCTGGGTTTTGAATTTCAAATGGCGAGCGCTCATTGGTCAGCGGGGTCACCTGACCATACTAACCAATGAGAAGCGCTTCTGACTGCAGTTACCAATGAGAAGCACTTCTGGGGGGGTTTTGGCTATGTGTTTAGATGAAGCACTGAGATCTCGAGGAATGCCGAGTTAAGTTTTATGGAAAGTTCACACCATTTTCCGGACCAGATGTGGAACACAGTCGATTGTGATGCCGTGTTTTTACTGCGATTTTGCCGCATTCGGCAGCTTCTTTTTTTTTTAAGCTTAAAATGGGCTTTCAGGTATGTTCCAGTGCATTCCAGACCAGACAAAATGAGACATGCGGTATTTTTCTGGTCTGGGACGGACTGCTCTGGTGTGAACAGAGGTTAGAAATAGCATAGGGAAACATTGGGATGCATTTTGGATCCGGAAACAATCTGGTCTGGTAATGATCTGGATGTGGTGTGAATGGACCCTCAATATCTTAGAAGGTCATTCCATGTGTGTATACAGCGCCATCTAGTGCCAAAAAGACATAACAGTGCATAAGCTGTTGTATTTCCAACAGGGGGGAGAGGGGGCCATATTGGAGGGGTAATTCTATTTTCCCAAATTCACCTGAGAAAGTGGAATTACCCTTCAAACCTTTACAAAAATAACTGTCGCTGTATGTGCTTAAAATGTGTTAGTCCTTATTTTGCCTGTCCACATAAAACAACATATACCTTTTAGCCCTCGTTCACATGAGAAACGGCCGGCTCATACAGATCTGTGCTGTGTGCACGGCCGTATCGAGCCGCTCCCGGGAAGGACAGGTGCTGCGTGTGATCTGTACGCAGCAGCCTGTTCTTCTCTATGGGAGTACGCAGCCATACGCTCACCCCAAGTGCAGGTCCGTACGGGTGTCCCTGCTTGGACACAGACAGGATCTATCCTGATAGCGTACGAGTACGGACACCCGCACCTGCAGGTCAGGTGAGTGTAGGGCGGCGTACGGCCGCGTACTCCCATAGAGAAGGACAGCCTGCTATGTGTAATCACACGCAGCACCTGTCCTTCCCGGGAGCTGCCCGATACGGCCGTGCACGCAGCGCGGATCTGTACGGGCCGGCCGTTTCTCTTGTGAATGAGGGCTAAGACTACCGTGTTCACAGAGCAAACATAGTTGTCACCCTGTTACAGGAAGTAGAAAATCAGCAGATCTATGGGCAGGATCAACAGGTAATAAATAGGGCTGTGGAAATTAAAGATTAATTTCTCGATTAATCGTTAAACTTTTTGATCGATTAAAATTATTTTGATCGCTAATGAAAACACTCACCTCTCCGCCGGCTTCCAGGAGTCCCGTCGGCGATCCGGTGACGTCACGGACATCGACATCACCGGACTCCTCCCCCAAGTGTTTAATCGATTTTAAAAAATTTTGATTAATCGAACACGAAAATGTAAATCAGTAACAGCCTTAGTAATAAACCTATGCTACAAGAGGGATTATAGGGACTCTCGGGATCCTAAACCCTGCCGGGGTGTCCAGTAATGGTTTTCCTAAAGAAGAAAGCAGCAGCTAAGGTTCAGACGGTACTTTCCTCGCAGATTAGGGCTTCCTGAGAATTTAACGACACAATCAATTTACACAAATGCCCGAGACGACATTTCTCCCACAAAGCCCCGTGCTAATCCTCCAAATCAAATTTAAAGCTTGGCTGAGGCTCTTTGTCCCGTGCCAAGATCTCATTTGGTGCGAGCGGAAAAAAACGGGCATGTGTGTGCAAAGTGTGAGGAACTCATAGAATACAACAAACAGCAATGTACGGAAACCCAACGCAGCCGATCGGCAACAACCGTCCATCTGACGGCTTAGAATTGATAAGG